TGTGTGTGTGTGTGTGTGTGTGTGTGTGTGTGTGTGTGGCCCCAGGGCATTTTTATATATTAGTACATTTAGGGCGTGTTAACTGGCCTTTTTTCAACCATTAAGTTTGGAATGCTCTTTTGTGTCTCCATGACTGTTAGCGGTTACTTTCGATTGTTTAAGGCATGACTTGAGCTCTTCCCTCCGCGCGTGTGTGTGTGTGACCTCAATTTCACTTTTCTTGTTTCCAATATCTCATTTAATTTTTTATTTGAGCCTTTTATTCCACTAGAGTTTGTGCCAGTGCTATCAAATTTCCTATCTTAATGTCCAAATAAAAGATGGTGTACTTTTATTTTATGTGACTTGTGGTGGGTGGTGGGTTGAACTTCGCCCACTACTTAGCTCCGAGCGCATTTTTATCTCCCGAATGCCGGATATTTTGTGTACGAGGTAATAATGAGGGAGTGTTGTTAGTCCAAAGAGTCGATATGCAGAACCACAATACTAGCTGGCATTTGTCCCCAGTGCAAGAAAAAATGCCAGGTGTCGATGACTTTATGCAAGTATAACGCTCTCTCACTTTTCAAATTATACCTACATGGCTGCTGATGCTGCGAGTAAATCGACAGACTTATTATTATTATTTGTCCCTCTGCTTAAAGGCGAACTGTCTGCCTGTCGTTAAGATTATAGCAAGTATTAGATTCACTGACTAAACTAAGGTGAAGTGAAGTGGATGCTCAGTCGATGGATCAATCGATTAAAGACTTGAATTCAAGTTTGGTAAAATTGGTATAGCATGATTAAAGGTATTCATATATTCACTTAGCCCATCCCTCGGCTTTTACCGTACCGACTTTGAGAAGTCGGTTCATGGGTTCTATTGCCATCAATACATAACCATTGAATGGATCGGCTAACTCCATTTGGCGTCTATTAAGAGTTGAAGTCAAATGTGATTATTGGCTTGGATCAACCTTAATTTGTGGGGAGAAAAATGGATGGATTTCGTCTTTCCACAACTGAAATGCTCACCGCACTAAATTAGTCGGGTGTTTTTTTCTGTGGGACGGATCTCATAAGCTCCTATTCCTCTACCTCTAATGTTAACCAACAAGCATCAAAATCATAGCCGCTGATTAGATAGAAGTTCGCTTTAACTTCTGTTTAGCCTTTAAAGCAACTGAGCCTTACCGGATAATGAACAAGTGTCGCTTTATACTACTTTCTACATCGTTCTTTCAATAAATTTTTGGTTTATCCAGTATCGCTGCAATTTCAGTATTTATCAATGCAAAACCGCATACTTAAATTTTAATAAGTAGTGTTTAATATTTCAAAGGTTCGTCGGACAGTCTACAACTCAATCATTTGCGAGAGACGTCAAGTTCTTCCGGATTCACAGCAAACTCAAGCGGAAGAACAAATGGAGCAAGCAAACACGCCTTAAACCAATGGAAAGATCATGATTCGGAATCTTCTAGCCTTTCAAACTTTCGGGATGTTTCCTCTCATAACAACTCACATTTAGAGTAAGTGAAATAATCGTCTTACTTATAATCTTTTAGTAGTTATATTTCATTGTCTTCTATTTTGATCTCATTTTGCAAATTAAATTGCCCCTATTTTTGCTGTTTAAAATTTTGATTATTGTCTTTTATAAAAATTTACTTCTAAGGGTGCCTGTCATTTTCACTACTAATGTCATTAGATTTACTAATTCTTTTGTCGAAATGCTTTTGTTTAACACCTCGTATTATGCTCCAGATATTCCCACGATTATTGTTGTATATTAACTTTTTGTTTCTACCGCAGTCACGTTTTTACACATTCAAACTGGCTCCTTAATTAAGATTGGCAGTGCAAAATGAAACTAACGTGAATAGTAAATTAAATTTAATGATGTGGTGTTGTGATCGAGGTTTTAGTATGGAAATCAGCAAATTCGGTTGTCTAAATTCCTTATGCTAAAACCTCTCACATTTGGCAGTATTTTCGCCGTGATCCTGATTGGTTGGGTTATTTTCTCTTGGTAACGTAGCTTTGGCAATTCATCTTTCAGTCATCCATTCCTTAAAAGTGTGTATCACCATCAATTTATGAACTAACGCATTTGCTTGAAGCTGATTGGCTGGTATCCTCCTGCCACGCGCCAATAAGCGATTTTCTGCCACACACACAATCTCACCTCACGCGCTTACATTGTCACGCGAATTTTTACACTTTGCATCGGCACACTCTTTAGCTTGGGGCGGATTAATAACATTTAGCACATCTACAGAGCACACTTACAGAAAGAAAGCTGCGATAAACACAGATCATGGCATTGGGATATGGATCATCTTCCTCAAAAAAACATCGTAAATCACGTCGAGAAGACGGAAATAAGTCAGCTGTTGAAGGAGCTTCCAAGCCGATTAAAACTATAATGCAGGCTTTATGGCGTCGACATTCGTCTTCCAGTCACGATACAGATAAAAACAGCAACAGCAATAACAACAGCGTTGATAGTAGCAACAGTGCAGGGAAGATTTCTACCGTCGCTACTACTCGAACTCGAACTTTATCCCCTAGTCACTCTCCTATAGGTAGCAAAGTCCGTTCTCCAGGTGTGAGCTCTTTGGAACAGGCTCTCAGAATCGCCAGTGGACAAGTTGATGACCCTGAGATCAATGATAGGGCTCAACTCGACGTGAGCTTCGGAAATGACTCTGTCTATGACCTTACTAATGATAGTACTGTCTATCAGCCCCCAGTATCTCAAAACAGTGGTGGGTATTTGCCCAGAATTCCCGAACATCGGGAAGCGAATTACTCAGAGTCGTCTGCAGCTCAAATTGAGAGGCTAAAAGCTTCAGTAGTTCGCCGAACTAATAGCCGGTCGGATAGAAATGAACTCAATTCAGCTCCTCCTGGAATTTATTGGCCAGATGGTGAGACATCTCAGCCAACACCACCGAATTCTCAGATATCCTTTCAACAACAATCATCGATTAACTATCGCCATACACCTGCCCTCCCTCAGACTCAATTTATTGATCGACTTCCCAGAATATCTCCCCTGAGTAGACCTACGTCAACCGTGTTCTATCCCGGTACCCGTAGTCCGCCTGTGACGAGTTTTTGCGCATCACCAGTTCGGACAGTATCACCCACCCCATTTTTGCATAGACCTCTCCCCCCACCTCCCCAACCACACCAACAGGCAGCAGCAGCAACAGCTTTTATCGATCGGCGAGAGGATAAAATGAGTAAATCTTTTAACTGTGGTGGGCCTCGTTCTGGGCCTATGTGGCAAGCAATTCCACCGCCTAAATCGCCCACAGGAGAGATAGTAGAAGTAATTGATACTACGGTGTATAGTAATGTGAAAATACCCTTACTTAGGTGAGTACTAATTCTATTAGTAAACTGTGATCATTAGTCTTTTTGTGTGGTGGTTGGTCGAATAGAATATAAGATGTGTTGGGGTCATTTAAGGCAGCTTTTGATGTACTTTATAATTTTTATTTTTCTCCTCGAAATTGTCCTTTTTTCTATTATTTTTGTCCTTGATTGCGGGGGGACGGGGGTGTAGGATTACTGCAGGGGTTTAATTTTGAAATATTTCATATGGAGTACTGCATTATGCCACTGGTCATGTAGTTATTTGCAGTTGTGTCACTGTTTCTCATTGAAAGTGTTTTTTTGCGCAAGTGCACATAAGCAGAGTACTGTTACAATTTTTGAAAGCATATTTTGGTAGAAATCTGAGAATGTGTATTTTTTGTTTGAGTTCGCTTTTATTTCCGTGTTTGATTGTTTATTATTATCTCTATTTATTATAATTCGAAAATTGCATGTATTTTTCTCTGTTGGTCAAGGTGAGGAGGATCAAAAACCAAGAAGAGAAACAATAAGGTATCAAGGAGTCTAGCTTCGTTTTCACTTTTTTTGACATGTATAATAATTGTGTGATTGGTAATTTACGGCCCAAATTTTAAAAGTTGTAAATTGTTTTCTTAATTGCTTCTACGTTTATTTCTTCACAGTGTTCCGAGAGAGAGAAGGTGGTGGCTTCTTGATCGATTGACTAACTATGGTAGTTGGTCTCACCACTTAAATGCATTATATATTATATTGTGTTTTAAATCTTGTTGCATAATAAATATCCAGAATTGGGACTTTGATCACTATCTCGCATTTTCACTTGTGTACTTTTGGTTATGTTTATATTACCATTGGGTCTAAAATGCGGATTTTTCCTTCCCATTTCAATGCCCCCCCCCTACTCCTCCTCCTCCCTTTGTCTTCCAACTTCGGTCAATACATTTGTTTTTTTAGTTGGAAGAAGGTTGTCTTTTGAATTCCTTTCTGTTATTCTTGGTAATCTGCTGTACCTCCTTTACCTAAAGTCTCGTCAGGATAGGTCTCTTTCGTCTTAGCTGTCAAATTTTGGATTTGTCCAAAAAAAATAACATTTCGACTTTCCTAACCAAGCTCTTTTCAAATTCCAAAGTCCTAAATCGCTTTTTTATTTAATTTTTTCCCTCTAGTCCTATCATCTTTGGAAAAAATAGTAACCTTGTTGCTCCTTGTACGCTGCGAGACTTTTTTTTCATTTGTCCAATCTAGCATATTGTTGTATGTGTGTATACAATTTTTCGTCTCTAAATTTAATGGAGTGTTTCAGGCGTATGTTTTTTTCCTCTTCTCCTCCTCCTCCTCCTCCTCCAAATCTCGATTAATTTATGCATTTTTAAACAAAGAAGAAATTCCACTTCAGTCGTCACTCACACTGCTTTTAGTTCAGACCGGAGGGGGAGGGGGGGGGGTTTACTTTGAGCTCACACGCAACAAAAGCCACTTCAAAGGCAGACACCGCCGTAGCCGCAGCCGCTGCAACCGGAGTTATGACAAGCATGGCATTTTTTGTGTGGGAATATTCTCAGCGAACCTCATAAAACAACAACAATAACAAACGCACAGCGGATCCGGAAAAGTGTTATAATTTGAATTGGGGTGATATATATGTATATATATATATATATATATATATATATCTATTGCCGACCCGGTTTTGTGAGCTCGAAATACTTATTGGCGGGAAAACCTTCCAAAAAAATTTGCACTCGGAAAGGATTATTGATTAGTTTTCTCTTTTTCTCTCTCTCTCTCTGCACTCCTTCCATAAATAAACATCAATTCACCTTAATGGTCTGTTAATTTTGACAGGTCTGATCATTTACGGGTTGTAAACAAAGATACCTATTGAACTAAGAAACGTTTAGAACGTCTATTTCTACCGATTAGAAGATAGTTTAATTTTTGTATTCTTTCTTTATAATGACTTTTACGGTTATTTTTTCTCAATTTTTACTGCTTTGTTCGTGTTCTCAAATGATTTTATCGTTATCTTCTGAGTCGGTTCATGTTGGAGTTATTCATAGTCTGCCAACCAGTTAGTCACAATAAACGCTTGGCCATATCACTTTGATTCATTTGTGTCTACCTTCAACGTCGAAGTAGAGAAGGAAGAAGATATTGTTAGGAACGATATATTTACACATGACAGACTTTACCAGAATTTATTTATTAATTATTTTATGCTTTAAAACGCGTAGTTAAGACCCTACTAACTTCGATTTAGAGCACCCTGAAAGACGAGACTTTCTATCAATTGGGGTGTCTAATGTAGCGATCTTTTAATTTGTTGGAGTTATAAGATGATCAAATACCAATTTCTTTCGTTATTTTGAATGAATTGAGTTGGCTTAAGGGGATACTAATCTCTGAATAATCGTCTCCCACCCCATCCCCCCCCCCACCCCACATTCCCTGGGTAGCATTTGTCTTTTGCTCAAATTTTAAGAGGTACTTAAAAAAAGCGTTTATGTCCTTGCCCTGTTTCATTTAATTGCATGCTCGCCTTTATGAGGCGATCATTCAGATGACATGCAACGGAAACTGACTGGCAAAAATTGATGTGACGAAGTCGCAGATACTTTTATTTCCTAGTTTGGATGATCACTTTCTTCCCCCCCCCCTCCCTCCCTCCCCCGCCCTCAAAAGGTGGCTAGATTTTGAGCAGTGGGTCTGAGTTTCGTAGTTCAACAATGATATAGGCTTTTTGACATTTCTCGAATTTAAAATGCAGTTTTTAGAGTCTGGACTAATCTTGATTCCACTTTATTTAAATAATTAGTTTTTGTAGGCTTTCGAGGTGATACTGACAGTTGATCTCAAGTATCGCCTTAAATTAGGGTGGAAGGCATGAAAAATTGTTGCAATTTCCTGATTCCACTCTAAATTTTGGAGATAATTACTTTAGACTGACAACAAATTCATGTCATCTGAATGTGTTAGCTACTTGTATAAACATTTTATTACAAAAATGGCTACAATAAATTGGTTAATTTCAATCATCTTCTAACTGGTGTTTAAAGATGATCCAACAATTTTTATTTATAATCCTCTTGCTGAAAGAAACTGATTCTTCTCCCTCAATTACCCAATCAAGTGAAGGGGTGTACGCAATAACTGAGTTCTTTGCACTTCTTATTTGTGAATCGATTTTTCTTGAGTACTCGGCTCTAGAATCGAGTTGTTTTCAAGTTTCCCGGCATTACCGTTATTATGCTATGAACTCTGAGCAATTCAATAGTAAGGGTTAAGCGAAAGGCCATTTATACGTCACTTGCGCAAATGCTTATTTTATGATCCAACCTGACGTTGCATTGACACTCGTTGGCCTGTAGAGGAACCTTCAATTACGATCTATACCACTGTTCATTATTGGAAAACAAGGCTGAGACATTCATCCTTTGCTGATGCTGGCTGGCTTTAGGGATCATTGGGCGACATTTCTGTCAAAGAGGAGTGTTCAACCATTCTTCAATATCAGTTATTGGTTTGAACTAGACTTGTAAGTTAGATTGTTTCAAGCCTAGTGGAAATGCTACAATCAGTGTGTTCTATCTGCTACCTTGTGCTATCCTACCCACGAGATTAGATCTTTCCACTTCTGTTTAACATAAGCGAGCCTCCACCTTCCTTCCATTATCATTCACTTCGCAACTCACATAAATCACAGGTGTGTATGCGTGTGTGTGTGTGTGTGTGTGTGTGTGTGTGTGTGTGTGTGTGTGTG